AATGAGTCGGGAATTCAGGTTACACACAGGAAACAGTTTCTAGAACAGATTGTTCCCCAGATAACAGGAAAAGCCTGACAGCCTAACTACAACCGGGGCTACCACAGAGGCATGACATGTCCTGGACTGGTACAGACTGCCAGGTGGCCACTCAGAAGAGGACGCCAGGCCGGCCAGGTCAGGGCCCTCACTGCAGAGCAGGGCACGCAGATCACCCAGCATCGAGTTCCCTCAGTGGACACCAACAGGCCGAAGCGTGGCCCCCCAGGTTTTACCCCTGCGAAGCTCTAGTTCCCAGGACTCAGAATACGACTATTTGGAGACAGAGCTTTTAAAGGAGTAAAGTAAGATGAAGTCATTAATGTAGGCCCTACTTCACTGTAACAAGTATTCTTTTAAAGACAAAAATCAAAGAAACTGAGGGAAGACCCTGTGAGGACACGGGGGACCACGAGGACCACCCTCCAGCTGAAGGTTGGGCCACAGGTGGAGCCCACCCTGCAGACACTGGGACTGGGTTCCCCCACCAGAGCTGCAAGAAATCCATTTCTACTGTGCAAGCTTCCAGCCTCGAGCCTCTGTCTTGCAGGCCCGAGAAATCAAATATGGTACAAAGATATAATCACAAAAATTAAATATTACCTTCCTCTATCGGAAACAAGAGTCAGAGGCCAAGGATACATCCTGCCTGGCAATGCAAGGCCGAGTTCAATTCTGGATACCCCCCTAAAGAGGTGCAAAAAACATATGAACGGTGTCTTAAGCCAGTTATCTGGTATAGACTATGATTATATTATACATATGTATATATGCATGACTATGTATGTATATATATAATTTTGTTTTGGTACTGGGAATCAAACTGAGGACCCGGCACTGGCCAGGCAGGCACTTACGCCGCTGAGCTATATCCTCAGTCCCATGATCTTATTTATGGAGGTATAAATCACTAGCTGTTTGACTGCAAGGACGCTGATAATCTGCATTAATTTCCCCAACAATAACATGCTGAAACTTTCCTGTAGTTTTGGTTGACGGGAATCTGCCTTTTTTGGGGTGAAGGGGTACCGGGAAATAAACCAAGGACCTTATGCTTGCCAGGCAGGCGTCGTACCATCAAGATGAACCCTTGGCTCCCAGAATTTTGCCTTTATATAAAATATGAAATTCACACTTCTTTCACATTTGTCACTTCAGCTGATTCCCACATCTTCTCTATGCAACAGAAATTTCAAGCCCAGAGTCACAGAGGTGGGAGACAGATGACCAGAAGCCATCCTACAGCCTGGGTCCATAACCTTTTCCACTAGATGCAAACACTGCCCAAAATCTCAGCAAGACTCCCTGCTTAAGAACAGCAAAGTTATGTTATATTATGGTTTTTTGGTAACAGAAATTGAACTCACGACCTCACCTTAAGGGGGCAGGCGTTGTGCTGCTGAGCTAAATCCCCAGCCCAGGAAAGTTTATTTTGTATCTATACTGCACTTACACAAGTGCCTATTTCAAACAGTGGAAAGGACAATGTGAATCCAAGATAGTATCTGGAAATAAATTGTATTTTCGAAATTACAGTCAGAATTTACAATGTGTCAGGCAGAGTTCTTTGTGCTACACACAAATTAACTCTACCCTGAAGTTCTTGGGGCAGGCACCAACCCAGTGCTGCCCGTGGTAGAGATGTGGGAACTGACGAGGACTTCGTCCGCACCAGTAAAGAGGGACCAGGACTTGAACCCACGCAAGACTCACTCCAGAGCCCACATTCTTTTGTTTTTTTGAGACAAGTGCTGAATGTGACATTCAGGATGATCTTGAGCTAACTGTGTAGCCCAACTTGGCCTCAAACTCAGTGATCATCCTGCCTCAGCCTCCCAAGGGCTAGGATGACAGGCAGGCAGGGACCACACTTGTAACCACACCACAGATGACATTTTTGCACATAAACTGTGAAGGTTTTCAATTCAGAGGAGCTGAAGTGTGAGTACAGGCTCGGTGGCCTACTGGGGGTGTGTGTTCTGTGAACAGTCTCTGTCTTAGATCCCTGACTTAGTGGAAGAGATCATTAATCGAGAATATAAGACCACTTAGTACAGTGTCTAGTGCCTGGTGTGTACTAATTATTAAGCCTTTGCTATTTTCTGTTACTTTAGTGATTATGCAAAAACCACTCAACACAGTCTGAGGTATGACTGAAAAATATATGAAATGCTTACATTTTAAAATTTACTGCAGGCACAGACACAAATGTGTTAACCATTAACTGCCCTTAACATGCTCCCCCTCATCCCATCTTCCTTGCCACTTTCTGAAGCAGCGCTGAAGTCCTCTTTTGCATCTTTAGTCTCACTGCTGTGACTTCAAGTCCGGGGCTCACCTTCTGCAGTCATTCTGATTGGGCGGGGGAGCCCTGTAGCACAGGACCAGATCCGGCCAGAGGAGGAGGACACTGCAAGAGCTCTGGGCCTGCTTCCCGCTGGACACCATGGGGCAGCAGCAGGCCCTGCATCTGTGGTCACACCCTGTATGACACTCATGCCGGACTGCTGACTCGGAAGGTGGAAAGAATGACAGGAGAGCACGTTCAAAGCCAAGAAGGACCAACGGCACCACATCTTTTACTGTGATAATGTATTTAAAAATTAAATGTTCACCAGCTTTCAGTCACCCTGTGATGTAGTCAAGGGTTGTAATGATAACAATTAAAAGCAGGTCACATCATTTATTTGTTATTTTATGATGGTCACCCAAGGAATTCAATACAAAGAAAGGGCAGGAAATCTGTCCACACACTAACAACCTACAGAATCTAGCCGAGGGCCTGGATCCCACAGCAATAACCTGCACGAATCCAGCTGACGACCTAGAGCCCACAATGACCCATGCAAGTCTATCCCCCAGATCTGCACTGGGAGGGTCCAAAGGTCAGCAGTGGAAGCTAGAAAGTCCATGGCAGCAGGGTAAAGGAGCTGTGCCAGCAGGCCGAGGGTTCTGTACCAGAGCCAAGAAGCATCGCTCAAAATAAGGACCAGGACTCTCCAGAAAAGTACCACAGCCAGCCTCAGCGACAGTGAGGTCCTGAGTTCCTCCATGAGAACAGCTGAGTCCGTTTCAGGAAGCCAGCGTGACAAGCTCCTCCAGGAGATTAAACAGCACACATCTTCCTCTCTAGAGCCTGGAAGCAATGCTCAGCGGAAGGACCAGGGCTCCCCCAAAGTGAACCGCAACCATTCTCAATGAGAAGGTCCCAAACTCCTGATGATACTGGCCGAGTTCATGTCAGGGGAGCCAGCATGACGAGAATCACCGGTTCCACACAACACTTCAGAGAACCCACCAGGCTGCGCTTCCTCTCCAGGTCTCCTTCTTATGCTGCAACAGCCCTCAGGCGGGCGTCCACACTCAGCACCACGCCCATGCAGCCAGCTGGTGTTAAACTGACCCCTGGTTACCAATCCACTACACCCTTGTAATCTGGGAATTTCAAACAAAAATGCTCTGTTCTTTTATTATTTCTTCCCTTCCTACTACTTTACTCCAATAATCTCATTCCTCATAAGGAGTTAAAAAATGTATTAAGTCAAAATATATATAAAATAAAAAATATGTATATAAAATCAGATTGTATCAGTCTTAACACTTCTGCCTTTCAAGCGCAAGGTCCCAAGTTCAATCCCCGGTACCATGAAAAAAATAAATAAAAATCACTAAATAAATAAAAATAAATAAATAAATAAAAATATCTAAATCTTCATTAAGTTTTTAAAAGTCTGAGCCTGTAATCTCTCAGGGGCCACACAGTCACCTGCCATTTATTTCTCCTCTACCTACTTCAAGCTTCTAAGGGTCATTTTGGCATGGTCACTTTTCTTTGCTACCGTTAATCACAGAGCCAGGCGCGCCCTGGCTTTTCCAGGCTGGAGAACACTGGTTCTGTAGTCCCAGGGAACTCTGTTCACCTACTTTTACTTCCTCTGGACCTTTTTTTGTACTGGGAATCAAACTCAGGCTCTCACTCGCTCTGGCAAGCAGGCATTTGTGCACTGAGGCGTATTCCTGGCCCCCAAGCTTTTCATTTTTGAAGGCTTTCCTTGAGATGATTTAGTGGGGAGAATACCAGGCAGAGGGAAGCCAAGAGTCCACTCTGATTCCCCAAAAGATGACAAGGGAACTGTGCGGTCAGTGCTCCAAACCCTTCAGCTATGAAGCAGGACTGGGCTGTAGGGCTGGGGCAGAAGAGGTGGACCTATCAGGAAGCCCAGGGCTTCAGAAAGAAAGAGCTGATACTTTGTGAATCAACAGAAAAGGATGGATTAACTAGCGAAATCAGGAACCACAAAGATTCCAAAGACAAGAAGACTCAAGTCCAAAGCATGCGGCCTTAAATTCACCTCTACCCATCTACTTGAGGGGGCACAGAATACAGCCGTGGGAGGCCCTGGCTGAGCCCTGGCGCACAGCAACTCGGGGGACCATGCAATATGGCTGCAAACACCCACTCCAGTGTGTGCAGAGCTGGCCCCGCTCCCGTCACTTGGCCAGTGAGTTTGTAGCCAGCTGACCTTAGAAGGCCTTCAGAAGGGCTGTAGGAGATGGAGAGAGCTCAAGGCCGGGCAGCAGTGTAACTCCTCTAGAGAGGAGGAGACCTGGCCCAGCCGCCTACAGAGCTCCCAAGATGCCTACAGAGCTCCCAAGAGGAAAGAGGTCGGGTTAACAAGGCACAGGCAGGCAGTCTCCACCAGGCCCCAGCAATGCCCTGATGTCAGCCTAGGCTCCAGCAGCTACCGGCTGTGCTTATGCACAGCCCTGGCTTCCGGCCTCTAACTGCCTGGTGCGGAGGTCACATCAACAAGGCCCAGGACCTGGAGTTTTACAAACTGCCAGCGCAAAAGTGGCCTCTCCAGGTGTGGTCCCCGGACGGCTAGTAACGGACCAGCAAGGAGAGGTACCCACTTCAGAGGCACTCTTGGGATCCTGCACCGATGCCTGGAATTTATCTTCTCAAAGTGGGGCCGTGGTCCCCTGACCTCAGAGGGTCTGACTAACACCTACTGCCCAATGTGGGGCTTGAAAGAAAGTAAGGCTCGGATTCAGAATTCATGGCCTCCAACTGGTCATTACTACCAACTATCAGTATTACCATTTCAAAAAAAAAATCTCAATTTCCCAGGTAGCAGATGCAGGTAATGATTAACAGTGACCAGAGATAAACTGTCCGCCTACGTAAAAAGTAAACTGGTTCTGCTGTGTTCTCTTAATCCCAGCACTCCTGGAATGTCACGTTGTGCCTAGGTTGAATGAGGAAATACTCTGTTAGGAGTAGAATGTCTAGGAAATGTCCGTTGTGCCTAGGTTGAACAAGGAATAAGATTCAGTCTCGAGATAAAAGTAAGTATATTAAAAGCTGTAGCTGCAGCTCAGGGTGAAGACCCTGGACTCATCTCCAATACACAACGGGAAGCAAATCGGTTCGACCCCGCACTGCTCAGAAAGAAACCCAAATTCCCAGTTGGAAGGTTTTTCTGAGAGTGCAAGAACCCATCTGGCAAAAACCTGGACGCACACTGCCTGCTATAAAGAAAAAAAGTAAGTTTTTATTTAAAAGAAAATGAGCTAAGACGCGCTCTCTCCAGCGTTTGCGCGCTCAGAGCCGCCGGTGAAATCCAGCCCCGCGTGGGCGGCAGGGAAGCAGCAGGGGCAAAAGGGACCCGCGGCCGGCTGGAGCTGAAGAGGAAGTCAGGGCAACCACAGCGTTTAACAGCCGATCGTTGGCCAGGAGGGTGGGTGGGAGAACCGCATCCGCTACTGCAGTGCGACGACCCGGTCCGGCCCGATCTGCTGCCCCGCTCGGGTCCGCACCCGCCCCGCGCCTGGCCTCCGCCCGGACCCCGACACAAAGGCGCCCAGCCCGTGGGCTGCGCCCGCCTAGTGCCCTCCCGCCCGCCACTGACACTTACTCGTCGCCGCTCCCCGCCGCGGTCGCCGCCGCCGCGCTCCGCCCGAACCCGCCCGGGAGTCACCGTGCCGCACAGCAGCGCGCGCCCCCCGCCCCGGCCGGCGCGGCCACGCGGCTGAGTCACCCGGCGCTTCACGATAAGAGTCCCCGCGCGGGGCACGCCGGGAAGGGGGCGTGTCCGGCCCGGCCGGAGGGGGCGGAGGAAGCGGCGGAGGCGGCGGGGGCGCAGTGGCCGCGCTTCCGGACTGGATCCGGCGCTTCGAAGCTCGATCCGCGGCGCCCTGTTTCTAGGGTGCGAGGAGTAACGTGGAAAAGTTTGTTTTGTGATTCGAAAAAGGAGCGCGCGCGGCCCCAGCATAGCCTCCGCCTCCCCGCAGGGGTGCGGTGGGGGTGAAGTTGGTGCGGCTCTTAAACACGTTGTGCGTGGACGCCCCTGCCCACCCTGCCTGCGTTCCTGTCAAAAAGGAGGGAGGATGCTTCGGTTTCTCCAGACTCCTGAAGCGATCTGCTCCAGCAGGTTCAACGGGAAGCTAACGATGGGAAAGCTGGTGGTGTTGAGTGGGAAAGATTTCAACAGCAAGTCTGTGTCTACTCCCTGTCCCGTAAAACGAATGCACAAAATCTAAAACAGCATCAGCTCTTATGTCACGGTGTTTACATTTTTTTAATTTAAAAATACTAGTAGTCCTAAAAAATATTTTAAACTAGCCTAAAGAAGTGCCGATCCTGCAAACTATTTTTGAAACTGCCATCGAAAGCCCTATAGATAAACATGACACGATTTCTTAAATTTTTCCCTTTTCCTTACGAGAGTCTCCGAACAAACACTAGGTTGGGGGGAAGGAGCAGAACTGGAGTTGGGATGGTGGGGACTTCGAAGAATAGACTCCTTCCAACAGGTGGTGAGTGGGTGACAGATGCCTGCATAGCAAAATTGCTTCATCAGAGTAAACAACTTAACTTGCAATGCTGAAGATATGAACTTTTCTTTATGATTTAGTGTTAGAGCCCGAGAGAGTTCGAACCCAGGGCCTGCAGTGCGCTAGGCAAGGGCTTTTGCCCCGAGGTGCATCCCTGCCCTGTTCTACGCTCACACTTCCTATAGGATGAAGAAAGCTAAACAGCACAGCTTGTGTTTATCTGAGTCAGGATGGGGGAGGTTGTGACGCTGCACTGGTGACCTGAGAGTCAGGTGACCCTGGGGCAGTGCCTCCTCCACGTGACCAGCTGTTTGCAGCTGCTTCCTTCCCAGGCGCAGGGCGGCCACCCCAGCAAGGCTGCCACTGAGGCAGCTGGGAGAATCCTGCACGGCTTGGGTCTGTTCGCTTCTGCTGATGTCCATTGGTAGGACCTGTCACGTGGCCTTTCCTGTGCCTAGGGAAAAGGAATATTTACCTAATAAACACTTTCCTTTCTTTCTGCCTCCTTCCCTCTTTCCCTCTCCCTCCCTTCCCTCTTCTCTCCCCCAGTCCTGCAGCCCCCTGGCTGTCCACCTCAGGCTCAGAGCTCGCCCTCGCCTGCTGGCACAGGACTGCACTGAGGCTCTGGGTGAGCTCAAAGCTCCTGGCTCCCGTCCAAGGCAGCCCCAGCTCTGACGCGCTCAGCCCGCTCTGTGAGGCAGGGACTGTCCTGTCCTTGCAGGGTGCGAAGCAGCGTCCACGAGGTCTCCCCACTGGCTGCTGCATGCGTTTTCCAACAGTCCCAGCTACAATACCTGGACAGGAGCATGCGTCCTCGGGGAGAAATGACGCCTGCTGGAAAACTGTTCCCCTAGATGTCGCTTCATCAGGAATAGCTTTCTCAGAATGGCTATTGTCAAGAAATGAAGTAATAGCAAATGCTTGGGAAAAAGGAACCCTTCTCCAGTGTTGGTGGGAGTGCAGACTGGTGCAACCACTCTGGATATCAGTGTGAAGATTCCTCAAAAAACTAGGACTGGAGGTCCCATTTAACCCAGCTGTTCCCCTTCTGGGTATCTTCCCAAAAGAATTTAAAATGTCACACCACAGTGATATATGTGCAACCATGTTTACAGCAGCACAGTTTGTAATAGCTAGATTTGGAAACAACCTAAATGCCCATCAACTGAGGACTGGATAAAAAAGATGTGGTCTTTTTCTAAAATGGAGTACTACTCAACCATAAAGAAGGATACACTTGAGGCTTTTATAAGTAAGTGGATGTAACTAGAGACCATGCTCATAAGCAAAATAAACCCGACAGGCATGTGCAAACATCATATTGTCTCCCTTAACGTGAGAAGCTGAAAGAGTAATAAGATCCAAATATACAACAGATAGTGGAAAGAAGTTTCCAAAGGAATGGAATGGAATGGGGAAAAGAAGTGAAGGAAAAGCAAGTATACAATATATGTAAGATATACATTGTATATGGTATATATATGGCGGCTAAGATAGTCATATTACTAATTTCTCTTAGTTCATTGAAAAGAAAGGTTTGTGCTAATATTGTTTGGACAAGTACATGCAAATATCTTGTACTCTGAATAATTAATTTAAAGATAATACAAAAATATTAATCATAGTTACCCTCTTGTTTTGAATTTTGTTTTCTCTCTTTAAAAATAAAAACAGGAGGGCCAGGGATTTAGCTTGGAGGTGTAAGTGCCTGTCTGACAAGTGTGAGGTCTTGAGTTCCATCCCTGGTACCAAAATATAAATAAATAAATAAAATTAAAAAAATAAATAAAATTAAAAAAATAAAAATAGGGCCAGGGATTTAGCTCAGCAGTTCAGGTGTGAGTGAGTTCGATTCCCAGGACCAAAAATAAATAAGTAAAATAAAAATTTAAAAACAGGCAGGGGTGTAGCTCAGTAGCAGAGTGCTTCCCCAGTCTGTGTGAGGTCCTGCGCAAACCCACGGAACCTTCGCAAAGCCACGCCGGCTTGTACACGGCTTCCCTGCGCCTCTGAGTTTCACATCTGACGCAGCAGATGCCCAGCTGCAGCCCAAAGGCCTCGTAACCCCAAAGGGCTGTAAAGGAACTTGGAAAATTGAACTCGGTTGTGGGTGACCAGAGAGGTGATCGGGAACGTGAATGTGCACACGCATCCTTTGCTGTGGAGAAGAATGGTAGACATCCTGATTGGGCAGGCCCCTGTGAATTAACAGGCACAGGCAGCTCGTTACAACACTTCCTAAAATCGAAAATACAGAAGCAGGCGTTATTTGCGAGCCTCGTTATTTGCGAGCCTCCTCAGGGGTGGCCTCGCCATCACCTAAAGCACAGCCAGGGGGAGCACCTGAGAGTCCCCCAGCCAGGAGATCTAGAAGCCCGTTCATAGGAAAGGCAGGGAACTGAAGGATGTGTAAAACCACACTGCTGGTGCGCACGATGGGTCCTGCGTCTGCAGGGGTCTGCAGGGGTCTGCAGGGGGCTGCAGGGGTCTGCAGGGGTCTGCAGACCGTGAGGCCTCTCAGGAGAGAAACAGCAATGTTTAAAAAAAAAAAAAAAAACACTGGGGCTAAGGGTTTAGCTTAGTGGTATAAATGCTTGCCAGGCAAGTGCGAGGTTGTGAGTTCAATCCCCGGAACCAAAAAAAAAAAAAAAAAAAAAGACAAGTATTTCCTTTGTGAGGTTTTTCCACTTATGTTTTTATTTTATAAAGATTTTTACAGGGAGCTGGGGATTTAGCTCAGCGGCATAAGCGCCTGCCTTGCAAGCAGGCAGTCGTGAGTTCGATCCCCGGTACCGATAAAAAAGAAAAAGACAAAAAAAAAAAAAAAAAGATTTTTACAGTGAAGATATAGAGGGAGAAGTTAGTCCTACTCCAAAACTAAAGCATACTTTCTCCAGCTCTCTGTAAATATATCCGTTTGCTTTTTTGAGCAATTGAAAGATTAAATCAGGGGCTGGGGATTTTTTTTTTTTTTTAAATTTTATTTAAGGAGAAAAGAAAAAAAAAGCAGGGAAAGGGTACAAGTTATACAGATTTACAGAAAAAAATGAACAGTAGGAAATCACTAGTTAATGGATTACATATTGTCATCTTAGAAATAATTGTTCAAGTCACAAAATTAAAGCTTGTAAAGTGGACATTCCATCAATGATACTGCAAACAGTTCTGTTCATTGATCCAATAAAACTCTGTGATATCATTTTCTATCTTATACACTTAAATATACATGCAGTTATATAGTTTGGAGCACTTTCTTTTCCTCTCTTTTGTACCATGACTATTACACATTTTGGGTTTCATTGCTCCCACGGTTCTTATTACTTTTTTGGAAGAGAGTAAAACCAAATGAGACATAACAGGACAGAATCTGTCAAGTCAAAAGGGTGGACATAATAGATAATGTAAAAACATAATACAAGGTGATCAACAATGGTTACCATAATGCCTCCCGCTATCTCTAATAGAATTGCCTATATCGTTAGTTATAATACAATTGAACAAAACAGTAAAGAATAAAACCGACAAAACCAAAACATTGGAGACATTGTAGGTCTTCAAAAGTAGATAAAAGTCAACAAGAATGGGCGTCATAATGAATCTCATTATCTTCACAGCTGATGCCTAAACTTTCGAACCTGATACTATCCAGCAAAACAGAATAGGGGAACATCAGTTAAAAACCAGATGGTGAGAGTAATACAGGGCTTTAAATCAAGGTAATGAAAAGTCACAGTGGGTTACTATAATATATCCTGCTTTTTTCCTTTAATTAAAAGCATAAAGATAAAAAAGTAAATAATGGAGTGGAGATTGAGATAAAAGAGGGCATAACAACGAAACAGCGCAGATCAAAACATAACCATTTAAGCAGAATAGTGTTTCACCACCAGATAATCCTAACCTAGAAGTAGTTACCATATTGTCTCTTTCTTTGAAATCCTTGAGTACAACTTCGTATACTGTAGCATTAAGTATATCAAAACAATGTAAAACCATTCAAGAGAATGACAGCATTACAGAGTATTTAGAATCGACTAACAGAAAATGAACAATGGTTTCTGTATAATCTCCTTGTCTTTAAAAGGTTTTTGCTTATACTATCGTACATAATAAAATCCAATAAGATACAGCCTATTTAGACCATTGGAGACAGAAGGACAAAAGCTAGATGAGACTTCAAAACAAGATGATACTAAATCAGTATTACCTATTAAGATGTCATTTTCTCCAAAATAGCTGTTCCTATCATCCAATCTTCTCTGCCTCATTTCTGTTGAGCTCTTTTTCTGTCAGTAGCTGTCAGTTTGTCTTCTTCATTTTGTTCTCTGCTCCATTCGTTGTGGCCTCTCTGCCATTATTTCTGGATTCTTTGTATTTTTCTTTTTTTAGAATATCCTGCAATACTCTCGGTAGAGTTGAATTGGTGGTTGCAAACTCCCCCAGTTCCTCTTTATCCTGGAAGCACCTTGTTTTTCCATCAATTTCCAGGGACAGTTGTGCAGGATATCTCAATCTTGGCTATAGATTATTATCTTTCAAAGCTTGAATTATTTCCCCCCACGCTCTTCGTGATTTGATGGTTTGTGCAGAGAAATCTGCTGTAATTCTGATGGGTATTCCCTTGTAAGTGGTCTGTTTCTTGTCTCTTACAGCTTTTAATATTCTGTTCTTGTATTGAATTTCTGGAATTTTTATTATTATATGCCTGGGTGTTGCTCTGTTTGGGTTGTAGGTAGCTGGGGTCCTGTATGCCTCATACATCTGAGTATCTTTACCTTTTGCTAAATTAGGAAAATTCTCCTGGATTATTTCTGTGAGTAGCTTTTGTAGTTCACTTGTCTGTGTCCCTACTTCTTCTTTTATGTTCTTAATCCTTAAGTTATGGCTCCTCTTATCATCTTCTTGTCTTTGTATTATTGCTGTTTGTTTCTTTGTTATTTTTAAGAAGTTTTTTATTTCATTCTCCCATATTACAAGTCTGCCCTCCAGTTCAGATAGTCTGTCCTTAGTTTCTTTCAAGCTGTTATGCCAGTCTTCTATAGACTTCTTAGTATCTTGGTAGTCTCTTTGAACCTGCTTCACGTATTCTATGCTTTCTCTGTTTTCTCCATCAAACAATTCTCCCCTTTTTTTCTGTTCTTCCATTCCACCATCTGTTTTTTCTTGGGTGGTACTTAGCATTTCTCTAACTATTCTGCATACTTCTAGCTTCAGGTCGTTGATAACTTCATTCCTGAATTGGTCTATGAGGCTCTCTATATGGCGCCTTATGTGTATTGGTGCGGTGTCTGCTATTGCCTGTTTCTCAGAATTGGGGGCCGAGGAGCCTTTCTTGTTGCTGCCTCTTCCCATGCTGCCTCTTCTTCTCTGTTCCTTATATATGCAAGCTTATATAAGAGGCCCAGCTTCTCTCCCAGTCAGCCACAGCCTGATCGAATTGTGCTGGTTAGGTGTTCCCACTCACCGCTGCGCACCAGGGAGTTACGGACCAGGCAGCCTATGCGTCTCCCCTCCCGGCCACTGTCAGGCTCTGGGATCTGGGTTGGGACAGCCTACCAGGTCCGCCGGCAGCATCACGCAGGCCAGGCACTTTTTACCAATCCCGCCCAAGAGGGGGATGTGTGGCTGGAGTCGCCACCGTGCCCTGCTCCCGCAGGACTGCTTGGGCCCAGAAAGTCCTCTGCTGGAGTCAAACTGTGGTAGAGTGTCAGTTTCTCTCACTCACCTCACCACAAGTCAGTGCACGCCTCCCTGCCGTTCGCAGATTGCCGTTCTCAGAGCTTCTGCACGTCTCTCTCCTTGCCGAGCCACTGTAGAGGCAGCCAGCCGCCGCATGGCGGGAAACCCAAATCGTGGCTTCCAATGGCGCGGGGTCCAGCCTCCACACCGAGGCTTTTCTGTTCCTGTTTTAGCACCAGGACTGCATTCCAAGTTGGTTTCTCTCAGCCCAGTTCGTTCCTGAGTCAGCAGAGCATATCTCCACCTGCTTATGTCTCCTTAGTCCGCACCATTCCTGGCTTCTGAGCCGAGTCTTTCAGAGAGCCTCCGGTAGTTGCTGTTATCTGTCCGCCATGTTCTCCCGGAAGTCTTGGGGCTGGGGATTTAAATCAGCGGCATAAGCGCCTGTCTTGCAAGCAGGCAGTTGTGAGTGCTATCCCTGGTACCGATAAAAAGGAAAAAGTTAAATCACTTAAAGGAAAAAATGCTGCTGAGATTTAGCTCAGTGGTGTAAGTACCTGCCTGGCAAGTGCGAGGTCGGTACCAAAAAAAAAAAAAAAAAAAAAGGAAAACGAAGTGCTTTAAGATAAAAAAAGCTCTCAAGGATACTCCACACTGTAACACAATTGTAGGATTTTATAGGTAATCTGTCTTTTTATGGGAGTTGAGTGTGGAGGTATCTGCCTGTTATCCCAGCTCCCCATGAGGCTGAGGCAGTAGGGTCAGTCACAAGTCCAGAGCCAGCCCGGGCGATTTTGCAACTTTCTGTCTCAAGATAAAAATACAACAGGTTGCAGCAAATCTCTGCGAACAGTCCCCAAACCTACAAACACAACACAACACAAAAATCTGTGTTTTTTAGCCAGGCTGAGGTGGGAGGATCCTTGTGAGACCAGCCTGGGCTAAAAAGTGAGCTCAAGGCCAACCTGAACTGCATAGAGAGACCCTGTCTCAAAAAAGACAAAAAAAAAAAAAAAAAAAAAAAAAAAAAAAAAAATCTGTGTTTTTGGAAAAAAGAACGGATGAGTGCCTATATTTTGAGTGTTAGGAAAAAAAGAAGGTAAAATGCAAAGACAAAAAAACAACCAAACTGCCACTATCAGTGTTGCTAAAGCCTTTCCTAGAGCAGTTTTAAAGAGGTTAAACTCTCCTCCTTTGCCCACCTGTGTCAGAGATGTTTGTCTCAAAGCTTTTGATATTTTTATGAGGCAGGAGGACTGAAAATCTGAGCCCAGTAGGAAAAACCTGGTGCCACAGCCAGACTCCTTTTCAAAATAAAAACAAGGGCTAAGAGTGGAGCTCAGTGGCAAGGCCCCGGGTTTGATTCCCGGCACCAACCGAAAACAAAACACACCAAGTTTTCAGTAACGGGAAGCGTGTAGCCTCTGTGTGCCGAAGCGTGGCGTGCGCCAGCCTCTCAGCTGCTCTGAGAAACCTCAGGAGGAAAAGCAGAGGGGCAGGGGTGGCCGGGATCCGAGGGCCTGGCTTCCAGCCCCAGCGCCATCGCTGACAGCACAGCTGATATTTTAAATAGAATTAAACATGTTTTAAGGGTACACTTGGTTAAATGTCCAGTTTAGTATTTTTTAATGATATGCTTTTAAAAATTGACAATAGGGCAAATAACAGAACAAGGTAAGTTCAGAAAAATTTCCTGTGCTTGTTAACCATAGCTCGGGCAATCTCTCTCTCTCTCTCTCTCTCTCTCTCTCTCTCTCTCTCTCTCTCTCTCTCTCGTACTATGATTAAACCCAGAGCCACACCAACTTACATCCCCAGCTCTTCTTCTATCTTACTTTGAGACAGGGTCTCACTAAGTTGCCCAGGCTGGACTTGACCTTGTGATCCTCCTGCCTCAGCCTCCCAGACTTCTGGTAACACAGGCACACACCATGCCCAGATCTTATTTATTCACCTATACTGATTTAAACTCCTCCTCTAATGGAATGTGACTGTTGAAAGATAACGGAAAGCCAACCGGGAAGGAGGATGTAGATGTTTAAATGTTAAGTTACATTGAAAGGGCCTTTGAGATAAGCCTGTTCCACAGCTCACTGAAACCCATAACCCATTTATCTGTGGAATAAAGACAGGTGACGAAGGCCGAGCCTGGTGGTGCACACCTGTCATCCCAGCACGCTGAGGTGGCCTGAGCTCCACGGTGAGTTCAAGGCCAGCCTGGGTTACACAGCGAGACCCTGCCTCAAATAAATAAATAATAAATCAATGCAACTGAAGAATGGCTGTGCACGGAACACACCAACTATTTACTGAACTAATTCAAGGACTTTCTCTGAAAATATATTTTCCAGCAGGGGAAAAACATGCAGCAGCAGAAGCAGAACAGGGTTGTTTATGAACTGGATGGAGCTCTGATGCTGGCTGTCAACGTAGCAAGTTGCCATTTGCAGAGGGCAAAATACGGGCCTCAGAAAACCAACCCAGACATGACCCGGCTTGTCCGCCCCCAGGGTCCTCCAGCCACGGCCAGGAACCCAGGTAAGAGGTGAGGGTTAAACTAGGATAAGTATTCCACACGGCCTGTGTTTTTCTTGGTATCAAGGACACAAAACCAACAATTAAATGTATCGCTTTTAAAAATTAACTGTAGGCACACAGTGGTAAATCTATTCACTCAAGTTCTTCCGTTCTGAAAATTCAAAACTGATTTGACCTTGTGGCCCTAAATGTCTTAACCATTAGCTCTGAATCACTGATGCAATGCCAATTATGATCAAGTTTACTAAAATGGATGGAATTTATCATTGCATAATTTTTTTTTTGAGACAGAATCTTGCCCTGTACTTCAGGCTGGCCTTGAACTTGCTATGTTGTCCATGCTGGCCTTGAACTCACAACGATGCTCCTGCCTCAGCCTCCTGAGTGCTGATATTATAGGCATGCAGCACCATACCTGGCTTTTCATAAAGGTTTGTCTTTAAACTTGACCTGGCAATTTGTGTACTATTCAGAGAGGGGACATTCACAGTTGGTTCCTTCTTGATTTTGCCAATATAGGAGAGAACAGGAAGGAATGATACATTGCACGTTTGATTTGTAAAAATTTGATTCCTCCATGTCCCCAACACTGTCAAATTAAAGCCTTACCAATTTAAAGCTTTATTTTGTAGAGGTTAAAAAGAGAATGTTGGACCAGGTATGGTGGCACCTGCCTGTAATCCCAGCACTTGGGAGGCTGAGGCAGGAGGATTGCTGTGAGTTCAAGGCCAGCCTGGGCTACAAAGTGAGTTCAAAGTCAGCCTGAACTGCATCGCAAACCTTGTCTCAAAAAGACATAAAAGAGAGAGAGAGAGAGAGAGAGAGAGAGAGTTTGTATGTGTTGGAATTAAATGTATGGGATTTAGGTCTTTAAAAATATGCTGGCTATCTGAAAGGCTTTCCTAACATTAATTTCAAACTGTTAGCCAATTTTAAAACAAGTACATGCTATCAAACCAACCATGATGGTGCACGCCTGTATTCCCAGCACTAGGGAGGCTGAGGCAGGAGGATTTGCTGTAAATTCAAGGCCAGCCTGTGCTATATAGAAAGACCCTGTCTTAAACACACACACACACACACACACACACACAAACCCATTACATCACTGAGAAAATGGAACTTTTAAGTGTCCTAGTCATTGCTGCCGCCACCAGCAAATGTGGTGTCCATTTTCTAGGAAGCACTTTCTTGACTAAAATTCTGAATTTCTATCTGTCCAGACGTTAGCTTGAGAGTCCGTCACCTGTGAACACCTTCTAGAACTTACCTTTGTACTGTGATGTCCCTGTGAAGGGCAACACAGCGGCTTTTAGGGTCCGCACAAAGCTACACAGTCGCTGCCCCTGTTCTAGAATTACATTTTACTCTCTTTCCCAACATGTTTTCACCCCCACTTAGTCCCTCAAGCCTTTTCCACTTTTGCTTCAAAAGCAGAGGCGGTGAAGACTGGGGTGTAAAAACGTAGTGTCCTCTTTTGAGACAGCGTTTCACTGTGTAGCCCAGGCTGGCCCTGAACTCCCTGGATCCTCCTGCCTCAGCCTCCCGAGTGCTGGGATTATAGGCGTGCACCATCGTGCCCAGCTGTTTCCATATGCTTTTTTTTTTTTTTTTTAACTTTTTATCGGTACCAGGGATCGAACTCAAGACCGCCTGCTTGCAAGGCAGGTGCTTTTGCCGCTGAGCTAAACCCCCAGCCCGATATGCTTTTGAAAACAACAATAGAACATGGAAATGGCAGGGAATGGGGCTGCATTTTGGTGAAAACATCACCCAGTTCTGCTTTGGAAGTCACTGTTCAGGGCCTTCCCATCGCCAGAAGTGAGTTAATTAGTGCACAGAGACCCAAGCCTCCCTGCTTGGGCATCTGTCCATCTGCCCGTCTGTCCGCTGCTCAGGTCCAGCTGGTCCCCACCGCGTGTCTTTTCTGCTCCTGGCTAATCATGTCACCTTCACCCCTCACCACCCAGCTCAGGTAACCCTCGGGACGGCTGCCTGACGCCTCCCTTACAGCCATGTGTGACACTGTACCTGTGTCCCTGTGCCACTGGACTCAGGACAAGGCCTCAGACTTTATGGGAATTAAACAGATGCTACACAAAATTCGCCGTATTCAGAAAGCCACACCTTTATCGCCTTTAGCCCAAATTTATTCCCTTCTCCTCCGCAGCCCTAAAAGGACTTGGAAACCGCATCACTCTAACCCATGCGCTGTAAGCAGCTAGAGGACCGAGACCTTGGCTTTATTCTTTACAAGTTTCCCGAAGCACCTGGCAAGGAGTTTATACATAGCGTGGCTTAAAAGCCCTCAGCGGGCTGGGCGAGGTGGCTGCCATCATCCCAGCACTCTTGGAGGCTGAGGCAGGAGGGTACGAGTTCAAGCAAGGCCAGCCTGGGCAACTTAGACTTAGGAAGATCTTGTCTCGAAATTTAATAAACACATACATACATAAATAAATAGGACTGGGACTACAGCTCAGTGTGCTGCCCAGTACTCTACATACTCTCATTGCTCCGGAGCTGCTAGAAACCAGTAAGATTCAGGGGAAAAAAGAAAATATAGTTTTGCAAAACTAAAAATCCAGTCCTGCACATCCCAGGCAACAGCGCCTGACACTTGGTAATCTCCGCCCCAGAAATGTGGCCACTGAAGTTTAAGCTTCATTTTAATTGAATCTGACCATCGATTTACTTGTTGAAAACATTTTAAAACATGCACAGTAACTTAAACACTTGGATCCAGTTGTCTAATTATCAACTTCATGACCTGCAAATGCAGGACTCAGTTTCCCAGTGTGAAGTGAGCCCCTGATTGAAATGTGCTCCAGGATAAAAGGAGACATTGGGTTCCAAAGACTCACACATGATAAATAGATTGCGAAGTGTATTATGAATAAGATTGTGCTGAGTATAGGGGGGTTTTGTACCAGGAATCGAACTCAGGACCTTGCACTTGCCAGGCAGGTGCTGTGCTGCTGAGCTATGTCCCTGCCCCTGATTATATGTTGTAATGTTAATGTATACTGGATACATTTACCTAAGTGAGATATGTTACTAAATGTCATTATACTTGATTTCCCTATTGTAGAATTTAAAATTGCCTATGTATGGGGATATAGCTCCATGGTAGGGATTCACTGTGCATGTGTGCCATTCCTCCGGTTCCTCCTCCTCCTTTTCCTCTTCCTCATTCTGTTCCAGTCTTCAGGATTGACCTCAAGCCTTGGGTGTGCTCACTCATAGTTAAATCAAATTATCACTTTTGAACTCGGTTTTGGTTTCTTTGTGTCATTGCAGACTTCCATCCACCTTTTCAACCCAAGGAGAGCTGCCCTGACTGTCACCAGGAGGAGACACTTCGGAAGTTGGCCCAGCAGCTGAGGCACATTGGCGACAGCATCCATCGCAGGACAGTTGAGGAGGTGAGCCTGGGTGGCGCACGCCTGGCATCCCAGCAGGCGGGAGGCAGAAAAAGGAGGATCGCTGCGAGTTCGAGGCCAGCCTGGGCTACATAGTGAGACCCTGGCTCAATTAATTAATTAATTAATTATTAAAAAAGAGAGGTGAGATTTGGTTCCCAGGTCAAGGTCCTGCCCAGTAGGACAAACTGTGAACGGGACCTCAGCTGCCCACCTGGAAGGTGGCCTGAGTGACAGCTGCCTCATCAGTCCCCTGACCTGCAGCTGGGGAGCCCAGATCCAGGCCAGCCACCTGTCTCGCATTTGGGACTCGGATGTGGCATTGGCAGCTGGATGTGTGTTGGGTCTCAGTCCCACCTGCACCTCCAGCAGATGGGAATCCACCCAGCAGGTCCTCTTGTGCCCCTGAAAACAAGGAGGATGCGCGTTCGGGTCACCTGTGGCGCTGAAGCATTAGGGACACCTGGGCCCGATGCCAAGCCATTCAGATCTGGCTAGCCTGGTGGGAGGCAGCGGAGGCCGGGCATGTATCATTTTCAAAGCTTCCCAAAGAGTTCCCTGCCCAGGCAGGGTGACCTTGAATCAGCCAGAAGAGTTTTTGTTTGTTTGTTTTGAGTCAGGGTCTCCTATGCAGTGCAGGCTGGCCTGGAACTCACCCAGGCTGGTTTTGAACTTGCAGTGATCCTCCTGCCTCAGCCTCCTGAGTGCTGGGATTACAGGCGTGTGCCACCATGCCTGGCTCTATCTCCTTTTTTTTTTTTTTTTTTTTTTTTTGTTTTTGCACGTACATTTCTAGTTGTCCTAGCAATGTTTGCTGAAAAGACCATTCTCACCCTGTAGATTTATCCTTGTTGAAAAGTGGTGATTTATTTCTGGATTCCATATATCTATCCTTATGTCTACACTAGCTTTCTCTGCAAATGGTTTTGACCTGGACTTCAAATTATACCTTCCTTTTATACTACAAAATTGCATTTTAGAACACTTTTGAATCACAGTGTGTCTTTAAAATAATTTTTAAAAAATTTTTCCTAAGTTCAGCTTTCAGATGCTAAGAAAAGCTTTTGCTACATCAAAGCTTTGGTCGAGCAACTCTAGCAGACTATAAAGCTGGCAGGGGACATGGTTCCTTTATTTACTTTCTGTGCTCTGTGATGTCGAGGGGTGCTGGGACCCTCCAGACACCCGGCTGCTGTCGATGCGCTGGAAGGCCTGGTATTCCTGTGTTTGCAGCTCCCAGGAGACGCTCCCAGATTGCCTTTTGTCTGCGGAGGGCACCGTTTTGTTCTTGAACTGCCCGATTTCTTGGTCTCACTCTTTTCACTTAAGCAAGTGTGTTTTCAGGAAGGATCTGTGTTTCTCAGAAGAAGGCCTGTTTTGTCATCCGGTTGCATCAGATTTTTTTGGTGCCTGCTTTTCTTGTTGCTGTTATTTATTTTATTTTTAATCTGGGCCATGTAATTTCCCTAGACATAAAGTGTGTTTTAATACAACACATCTTAGGCTTCTAAGAGCTTTTAGGACCTTTTCTTGCTTTTTGAGACAGGGTCTCGCCAGGTAGTTCGGGCTGCCTTGAACTCACTAGGCAGCCCACTCTGGCCTTGAACTCGGTGACAATCTTCCTGCCTCGGCCTCCTGCATGGCTTTAAGATTGCATGTGTGTCTCTGCAATTCTATGCTGCAGGAGTCTCTCCTGAGCTCTGGGCACTGTGGCTTTCCGGCTCTCCCCTGAGGAGCCTTCGCAGGCAGCCTGTTCTCCTGAGCCTCCCCGGAAGCAGCCTGGCTTGGGTTTTGTTTCCTCTTGGACCCTGCATTTCCAAATTGTGCACAGGGAAATTCTTAGATTCTTAGGAAGAGGCTGAGAAACCAGCATTTCTGGGACAGTTTCTTCCAGGTACTCTTTGAAATCCTTTTACAGGTTTCACTGAACTATCCTGACTGTCCCACAAAGCACAGCGACAGGCATTTGAGGAGAAGGAGCTCTCGGGTTTCCGGGGGTCGAGGAACCTCTGCAAGCCACTCAATGCTGAGTTGTGAGCTTCTCTTTCAGTTTCTGTACTTTTTCTCAACTACCGCACAGGAAGGAAATGCGTTTGATTTTCCTGACTGATATCATTATCAGAAGGGGGCGCCATCCCTTCATGAATCCCAGCTAACTGCAGAGCAGCATCTACTTTCCTTCTCCTGCTGGTTCTGGTTTTTCACTCACTCATTCATTTATTCAGCTAACATTTCCTGAGCACCTACTATGTGCTGGCTCTGATTAGGTGCTGCAAGCCCTGGAGGAGGGGTGTGTTTGGCAGATTTGAAGGATAGCAAGCAGGCCAGTGTGGCTGGAGCTGATGGAGGAAAAAAGCAGAAAAACCTAGAGGTGGGCAGCAGGTGAATTACACACGGCCGGAGCCACCACAAGGATTTTACTTCCAAGCAAGGGGCCATGTGGGATCACCCAGCTTGGGGGGAAGGGCGGGGGGACACGGTCACCTATTTCTCAACAAGCCTGGGGAAGACACTAGAAGCCAGAGGCATGGGTCCTCAGCCCTGAGAACAGAGCTGCAGTTTGCTGATGGTCAAGCTGGGGGAGGTGGGTGCACACCTGTGATCCTAGCAGTTTGGGAGGCTGAGGCAGGAGGATCACAAGTTTGAGCCCTGTCTCAAAAAACAAACAAAGCTGAAGGTGTAGCTGGGTGCAAAGGCTCTGGATTCAGTGGCCAAAGGGGACTGGGGAGGGACAGGCACGCAGGGAGACTTCCAGAGTTACGTGGAAGATACAGACCTGAGGGCCAGACCTGGCTGCCTGCTCTCAGCTTGCAGAATTCCTGGACTGTTGGTTCATTCACAGCATGGATCGAATGGGCATTTTCTAGTGCATCCGATTTCTGACTTTGGATTATTCTGATGCATTTTTCCCCACCCTTCTCTCTCTTTCTCCCTTGTAAACAGGGCCTTCAACAGGAGGGCAGAGACGCGCTGGCTCACTTTGCCCTGTTCCTCTTCGGGAGAGCCCGGGCGGTGCTGCGCCTGCTCTGGAACCCCCGCCTGCTGTAGGGGAGCGGGACCTGCCGGTCCACGCCTGTCCATCCCCTTGGCGTTCACACGGCTGCCACCGTGATCTCTGCGGGTGACCGGAGCTGCAGCCTCCCTGGCCTCGTCTTTCAGCTGCGATGCCCAGGCAGTGACTGGGCACCTGGGAGACCAGAGGCCTCAGGGCCCCGGGCCAGGAGGACACCCACAGGCCTCCTTCTGGCAAGAACTGGAGCTCCCTCTCAAACCAGAGACCACGCAGGGCCCGTGTCCCATTTTGAGCTCTGAGCCCACAGCAAAGTCCCTCCCCGCCCTACCCGGCTGGGCCTGGCCCAGGGCATCTGGCACTGCTCTGCATCCCCCTGCCCGGCGCTCTGCCCTGCCTTTCGGAGTGTGGACCTGAGCGAGTGACAAACTCGGCAGCCCGGGCGCAGCCTGGAGCGCTTCTCCTGCCTCTGAGGATGCCCGGTGCTGATGTGCACACCCGGTTCCTTCTCTTTCACCCCTTTAAACGAGTGGTCTCCTAGCTGCCCGGGCCCCCTTAAAAGAATTGCAGGTGTTAAGAACATTTGTTGGTGTAAATTAAAAGTTCTGTATTTGTGCATCTTGAGTTCTTCAGAGGAAAATGTTAAAAAAAAAAAACTAATTTAAAAATGAAATAAACGTTGTTTTACTGAGCATAAAACTTCTATATTTCTTTTGTGAAGGACGGATTCCACGTATCTCTACTCATCTAGGTGTGTGATTTTTGTAGATACTGTGTCCCTTTTGTCCTTCCCAAGAGAAAGGTCCCTCTATGCAAATGTTAAATCATCTCTATGTTACTTATACACCGAATGCAATGTACTAGGTCATTACACTGAATTGTTTAGGGAGTAATGGCCAAAAAATTCTGTACATGTTATGCACATTAGTAATTTCTCGGGGTTGGGGATTTAGCTCAGCGGCATAAGCGCCTGTCTTGCAAGTATGCGGTCCTGAGTTCGATCCCCGGTACTGATAAAAAAGAAAAAGACAAAAAAAAAAAAGTAATTTCTCCCTGAATATTTTCAATGCTAGGTTAGTTGAACCTAAGTGTACAAACCCTTGCATGTGAAGAGCGAATGTGTGTATACACACACACACACACACACACACACACACACACACACACAAATGTATATATCACCTTTTTTGTGGCTGGTACCAAATACCAAACACCCACAACTTAAAGGAGAGGTTTAGTTGGGCTCACAGTTTCAGAGGGTTTAGTCCAGGACCCGAGACCAGAGCCTTCAGGGCAGGTGTCAGTGGGGACCTCTGTGTCCTCATTGGCCAGGTGGAGCAATGCAGGTGCTTGGCAATGGCCTGGGGCTGCAGGCCACCCCCCAAGAGGCCCCAGGCAGGTGCAGCCTGGGTGGCAGAAGGTACCCCACTCCAGGGCAGAGACACCCCCCCTCTGTGGGGAGGAACAGGTGGGTGGAGACCCACAGGGGCACCTGGACTGGTTCTTTCAGGTCTGGAGCTGTGACCAGGGTTACTTAAGCTCCCAAAATCCAGAGCCCGGCTTCTCTATCAGAGCACCTGCACAGGGACACAGGTGCTCCTGAGACATCACTGGGGCCACGTCGGTGTCCTGGAGCTGCAGCTGGGACCTCGATTGGGACACAGCAGGGGCCCCCTCTCCACCTGAGACACAGGTGAGAGCCACAAAGGGCACACTGGGGCCACCTGTTGTCCTCTCCTATCCTCCCCTACCACCTCAACTTCCTTGGCATCGAACTCCTTCCCTCCCATCACACTTTCCAGTGGATTCCTAACCCTCACCATCCATCCCTCCTTCTTGCCTCACCCTTTCGTTTTTTTTTTTTTTTTTCTTTTTTGAGACAGGGTTTTGCTATGCAGTTCAGGCTGGCCTTGAGCTCACATTGTAGCCCAGGCTGGTCTCAAACTCCTGAGTGCTGGGATTACAGGCATGCGCCACCACACCTGGCTCCACCTCGTCACCCTTAAAATGCCACTCATGGAGGGTTGCTGTGGAGTCTCACCTCCTGGTCCCTACTGCACCAGCTGGATCCCTAGAAGCCCCTGAACAAGCCCAGTCCTCACTGCTGCCCACCCAATCAAGCAGGGGCTCCCAAGCCCAGAAAGCTCCCCTCCATTTGTCCCCTTGCCTCCACGCAAGCCTCGGAATAGACAGCAGAGCTTCTGTTTTACCCCCTCCCTTCCCTCACCCTAAACCCAGCGGCGGACCCCAGGCATTTCCTGGGGCGTTGCCAAAGTGGTGAAAGCCTGGGGTCCCTCTCTTGCTCACAAGAAGGTAGAAGTGGTGACAAGGAGGCTCCGCAAGTCCTAGGTCTGGAGCCCCTTCTCCAGCAAGTCCCCCCCCCCCCCCCAGTTTCTGAAGCTCGCTTACCAGGGAAACCACCAAGTGGGGCTCTGGAGCCGTACCCTGCCCTGCCAGAAGTGCAGAGGAACCAAGGACCAGGATGCTGGATCCCTTTGCTTCTGAATTTTGCTCTGCTGGCTCCAGTGCTAAAATCTCCTCCTGTCTCACAGTGAAGGTGATGGTCTTGCAGGAAAAACCACACACACACACATGAAAATGACGCTGCATGGAGCTGGGGATTTAGCTCAGCGGCATAAAGTGCCTTCCTTGTAAACGCGTGGTCGTGAGTTTGATCCCTGATACCAGTTAAAAAAAAAAAAAAAAAAAGAAAGAAAGAAAATGACCCTGTAACTGGTTTCTTTTTCTCTTCAAGCCACAAGAGACCTGGATGCTCCTGCTTTCCAATGCAGTGACGTCACTGCCTCTCTCATCCTGACGCACACACCCGGTCGCTCTCAGGCTATGCCAGCTGTGGGGATGCAAAGATCCAGACCTCTCTGGTGAGCCCCTGTGTGCAGGAGTCCAGCCTTCCTTTCCCTCTTGTAAAAAGTGTTTGCTGATTTATTTACTTCTGATGGGCGTCTTGGCCTCGGGGCTCCCTGGGGCCTCGTTCTATGCTGTCACCAAGGTCGCAGGAGCCTGTTTAGGCTCTGGGACGCCATGAGACTCCCACCAACGCCCTGGGCGGGAGGGGAAGCTGCAGGCTGCCGGGATGGCTCTGGCACCAGATGGAGGAGAAAGGCTGACTTCTTTTTACAGCCATACATATGGCTCCCAAACTCTCCTTCTTCAAGGAATTAACTTCCTTCAGATCCTGTTTATCTTTTCCATGATAAGGAGGTCACTGTCCTCCCTGGAGGACCCAGGTTGGGGTCGAATGAGTCATTACTGTCTGAAAAGTGAGCAGCTGGGTGTGTGTAGATAGAACCTTCTTTTAAGTCATTCTGTTGAACTTTTAATGTTATGAAAGTAGAAAGTGCCTATTGTCAAAAGTTAGGAAGTGGCAGAGAAATGTAAGAGAAATACAGAAAACAGCCAAATCCACCCAAAGATAAACGCAGGAAACACATGGGGCCACCTCCTGTCCATTTCCTTTTCCTGGGTACTGTTCCTACCTCGGGACACTCCCAGCCAAGGTGCCCACCGTAAATGAATAATGTGCCCAGGCCTGTGCAGCACATGGCAAAGCCAGGAGGCCAAGCTGGGTGACAGGTCCAGGTCACGGATTCTTGACGGTTGCCAAGTCCAGGGGCTCCACAAGAGCTCTGCTGCTGTTTTGATTCTCTCAGCAAGTTCTAGAATGTACCCGGAGCCAGGCACGGTGGCCCATGCCTGTCATTCCAGCTCTCTGGAGGCTGAGGCAGGAGGATTGCAGGGAGTTCAAGGCCAGCCTGGGCTACAGTGAGACTTTGTCTCAACCAAAAAATCAAAGCTACAATATAACGTGGCAGAGAGCTTGATGTCATCTCCAGGAATCCCCTTGTATTCCAAATAAGGAAACTTTTCATCAAGGCAGAGGCTTTTCATGGGACTCCTCCGCGAGGGCGGTCAGCTCCCCCGTGTCCTTCTAGTGACGGTGTGGAGGACACCACATCGCTCTCCCCAGATCCCTGCCCAGCTGTGAGTCTTCCCTGAACTGGCTTTCAGCTTCATCGGCGAGTCTGGCCGGGCTGTGTAGTATCTGCGTGGAAGCAGGCAGCCGATGCTGGACCGGTACACAGTTTATCACCAACTGAGCACGGGTGGAGGAGATGAGGTACTGCGGGCGGGGAGAGGAGATGCCTGTGCGACTCCAGAGGGAATCCCCCAATCTTGGCCGATCCCCCGCTGTCGCAGGGCTCCCCACCATACGACCTGTCTAGTGCATTGGCAGTGATCCCCTCACCATTTTCCTCCGTGAATAAATACCGAGGTCCTAGACGCCTCGTGGACTTTGCTCCCCGAAAGGAACAGGCCATCCCAGATCCTGCGCCGGGCTGTAACCCGGGCAGGAGACTGGAACCCACCGCTGGGTGACAGATTCCCCTCGCTTCCCAGGCAGCCTGATCCCTGGACAAACGGCCCAGGTCGAGGTCACTGCGGCCTGGAGACCTCTGCTTGAAGACCTGTCCTCGCCCCTGGTTAGACGACCCCAGCATCAGATCAGGTCCTAGGGAGGCCTTAAGAGCAGAGACCAAGAGGGAGGAGAAGAAGAAGGCAAGGAAACCCCTCTGCCAGGCCCTACCCCCGTAATTACTGGGTTCCGCCCGTGTGAAGCAGGGCCATGCTCAGAGTGGAGCCGACCCGACACGGCGATGCACGGTGCCGCCATTTAAGGCTGACTTCCGCCTTCATGCAAACCCGAGCGTTACGTGCCCGTTTTTTGCGCATGCTCCAAGATTCCCCAATCAGCTGTCAAAACGTCACTCTGCCCGCCCCTTCAAGCTCCACCCTCTGTCTGAATAAAAGCTCGAGGTTTCTTTGTCTGCCCCAGCAGGAGTTTGCACTTTCCTGAAGCTTTCACGTACCTGTAATAAAGGCCTTTTCCCTTTTCCTTTGCGCTTTTCCACGGTGCAAGGAAAAAACTATCAATTACCCTGGTGAAAACTCCCCTTCTCAAGCTTGGCTGATCCCTGCCTGAGTGGCAGCGCCTGCCCAAGGTGCTGCTGGTCCAGCTGTCCTGAGACATGAGGCGGCTCTTGGACCGGCCCTTCCCCTGCCTCGGGTGTCACCCTGTGCTGTGTCCAGGAACCGACATGGTGCCTGGCACACGGCTGTGTTTTCTCACTATCAGTAGGATGCGCATGAAAACCCTTTCTTGCATCTTTTTGACTATAGGCAGTCAAGGGTGGGTTTGGTCTCCATCCTCACCAAACTGTGGGCGTCCCAAACTTCGCTAGGCTTCCTTTTTGCTTCAGCTTTTTTTTTTTCCCCTTGGTTTTTGGTTTTGTGAGACAGGGTCTCATTATGTAGTTGAGGCCTTGATCTCATGAAGATCCTCCTGCCTCAGCCTCTGAAGTGCTGGGATTACAGATGTGTGCCACCACGCCCAGCATTCCTGCACTGTTTTATTGTGCTTGTAGGGTGCTGGGACTGGAATCTAGGTCTTCGAACACACAGGCAGTCTTTGTCTCACTGAGCTGCACCCCAGTCCTCTGCTTGGTTTTCTACCTGTGAAGGTGAACCCAGAGTGCTAATCTTGATGTCATGAAGCCATCAAGCAAAATGGTTCCAGGCTGGGCTGGTCCTCATGCTACCTGTGTGGCCTTGGGCTTATCACCAATACCTCGGAAGCCTTGAGTCCTCTTTTGGAAAACAACAACAGCGGCTCTTCTGGGGACTCTGTGGTCATCCATGCACACTCACCATGCGTTTATTGAGCACCTACTATGTTCCAGGTTCTGTTCTAGGTGCTGCTAGCCCCTGCATGCTCAGTCCACACCTGTCATATATTCAGTCCCTTGGACTTGGAGCAGGACTCAGGGACAGCCAAGGAGGAATGCTGGGGCAGGGCAGTGTGCTGTATCCAGGGAGCCTCCAGGAGGAGGTGGCCCACGTAGGAGGGGCTGAGAAGTGTGGCTGTGTCACTGTCCCCACCCTGCAGGCTTCAGCTGGCTCTGTGCAGCTACGAGGAGGACAAGGACTGGCCTCATTCACCTTCAGCTATAAAGGTGCTGGGCCCAGCATGAGTCCTCCCTACTGTGCAACCCCAAGCGTAGGGTTCAGATGAGCGGGCATGAGCTCCGCCAGCTCACCAGGGACAGATGACTTCCACCTGTGTGCCTGGGGCTCAAGTTGGCCCGGAAACCCTGGGGGTGGGGTACCTTCCCAGGACTGTGCAGCCTCCCCTATTCCTCCCAGAACCTTCCCCAGCATCTGCTTCTTAAAGAACCAACATGCAAGCAACCAACCATGCTTCCTCCCCCCCAAAAAAAAATCCCTATAAAATGCTGACCACTCTAGGAGGCTGAGGCAGGAGAATCGTCATGTTCAATCCTGGCCTAGATGCTCTAGAGGGAGAGGGCCTAAAATCCTAGGCAGCTCCAGAGACTGAGGTCAGTTGAGCAGCTTAGAGAGACCCTATGTCTTAACAACAAATGCAGGGACAGCTTTTGAAGAGAGCTTGGGGAATCCCATGAGTTTTAGCACTGTCTCTACACCTAGGAATGCAAGGTGTGGTTGTTTAGTGTGTGTACTGCCTGGCTTCCTGACAGTTTTCCAGATGGGGCTGCGGAGGGAAGTGACCTGGCTGGGAGCGGTTGGTGCCAGGCCCTGTGAGTCTCCTGGTATGCTCAGGGCTGCTGACTCCAGGCTGGGTGACAGGCATGGGTACAGCTCAGCGGCACAGCGAATGCCTGGCAAGCGCAAGGTTGTGAGTTCAATTCCCTGTGCCCTCCTCCAAAAAGCAAAACAAACAAACAAAGATAAGTAACCAGACCAGGCACGTGGTTGCAGGCCTGAAATTCCAAACACAGGGGAGGCTGAAGAAGAAGGATGGAAAGTTCAAGACCACACTCAGTGACTCAGAGGCACCCTGGAGGGGGAGGTTTCCCCCATGGTGACAATGAATTAGGGCCCCCAGAAGTGGCTTCCTTCCCAAGGTCCAAACCCCCTCCCTTCCCTCACAGCGCCAGCAAAGCAGGTTCCTCCATCCCCACCCCTGATCCCTCCTCACTGTCCCCTGCCAAGGGACACACGTAGGACACCAAGATCTCCCACCCACGCTGGCCCAGACTCTGGGCTTCTGCCCAGAAGTGGACTCGGAAGAGCGGGCAGAGAAGACCGCGGTTACCCCGAGGGTGGTCTCCCCAATTTGCATTCGTATTTAATTTGGAATTAGGATTTCAGACATGCAACTCATGGCCTGCGGGGGCGATGCAGAGAGTCCTTCTAAAAAGTAAATTCGTTTAAGTAAAAAGAGTCTTCATATTTCCGGAAATGTGATAGCGTCTGGTTGCTCTGGTTTAGTCTCTGGAGCAGCCTTGAGAGTGGATATTACTGATACAGAGGGATGAAACTCACCCCCTACTATGTCCGGTACGAGTTTGTGTTCTCTAAAATCAAAGAATGAATTTTAGGAACAATGGAGGTTAAGAGCAGAATATATTTATTAAGAGAAAGAAAGCTTTTATCTTAGAGACAGAAGGGGTCCCGAGCAGGTTGCTGGACTCTCTGTCTTTTTTGGGGACTTTTATAGAGTAAAACCATGGGGTTAGCTGGGTCCAAGATGGGGAAAAATGGGAATTTGCAAGGTGAACATAAGGCGGGACGGAACTGTGGCCAACCAATGAGATTAATTGTTCAGGTAAAATTGATTACATTAGGAGCCAATGGGGGAACGAGTCGCATAGTAAAGGGGCCTCCTTAACAGCCTGTAGGGGGTGGAATACTGGCTCCTGACTTCCTCGGA